CCTGCCCAGGGCAGGGGTTTGGATTGGATGACCTACTGAGGTCTCTTCCGACCCTAACATCTATGAATCATGGATTTTTTAATGATCACAAATGATCATGATCTCAGGTTAATGTCTTACCCAAAAACTTCAGCAACATAATACCCCTAACACTGAACTGTGCTTGGCAGTTGAGCACTACTTATTCCATGCCAAGCACCAGTACCATCCTCTGAATGTACCTTCATGTTCCTTGGACTCCTACTGCTAGAAAGCCTACCCGTTCCTGGAATATAGCCACTGGAACAACTGCCTCTGTCTTGTAAATACATTCATTCACCTGGAAATTGGTCCCTGTTATAAGGGTTAACGGGTTGTTTCTTCCATAATAAGTATGTGCAAGTGTACATTCATCTCTGTGGTCAGACTTCCTCTAATAAACACCTTATCCCCAGTGAGTGTCTCATTTTGCCACGTGTTTCTTTCCTGCTATGGACTACTGTGAGTTAAAGGATCTGTTTTTCTTTTTATTCTCTTGCCTCAGTAGTGAGGCTCAGGGATGTGTTAACACTGTGCATTTAGCACTCGCAAACTAATATTAAAAGACGAAGTGGAAATTTTACAGACCCCAATGCTCACTAATTTTAGAGTGTTTGTTACTTTCTACTAGCAGTTAGCTATTCTTTAAATGCTATGCTTTCTTTACTGGTCTTTTTTACCCAAATTAAGATATTTTGTTTCTAAAAATGAGCATATCTGAAGCCCATTTTGTAAGAATCAAATTAAACACTTTCTTTATTTAAATTCACCATAAAAACTTTTTGACTGATAGCATAATCAGCTGATCTCATTGCACAACAGACAGCCTGTGCAGTTTACTCCTAATTCAATTCAGTCTTGTGCAGGTATGAGGCCAGATTCAGACCTATAAGGAAAACTTTGTAGGTAATAGAAAGAAAATCAGTACTTTGGCCATATGAGCACATAGCATAGATTCCCATAAGCATCATTCTGTTTTGCTAACTGGGAATGTTAAAAATGAGACAGAGCTAAAATGGATTACAGATTAAATGTACCACTGTCCAGAACCAAGTCACAGTCCTGCACATAGCCCAAAGTAAATGGGCTAAGTGTCAAGAAACTACATGGCAAGTTGTCAGTGGGAGGCAGATTAAAAAAATCACCCTCAATGGAGATATATTAATTATCTCCAGTACATATCCCAGTACATATATGGAAACATTGCATCACCTTTACAGCCCTTTGCCCTGGCGACTGCAGCCCTGTTACTTGGACTCACTATAGCCAAGTGGTTACATCCCAGCTCTGCACTGACAGGTTAGTCTAATTGTGAGAGATGGAAGAGTAGAGGACCAGCCCCAGGGTGTCTACATGGCATCATGTTCATTTGCAGAAAGAAGAATTTGTGGTATGCCCAATGGCTAGATGAAATAACTCAGGGCAAAGTTTACGACTAGGTATGTAACAGCTAGAGAAATTGTAGGTGTTGTGGACAAAACCCATTTGGGTCACTGTATTTTTGAACAGCAGTAGCCTATGCATCTCAGGCTATACACACTGGTTGAAGTACACTCACAAGTTTGACCAGCTCACAACCATAGATAGAATAGTTTTCAGCCTGATCTATGATTATGTGTGTGAAAGTGTCCAGTGAGGAGCTTGACATCTCTCCCTATGAAAATATCTGGGTCCTGGATTCATGTTTTCACAAGTTTATTTTAACTGAAACAACCTTACTATGAATATGATCTATTTACAATGGCTTTTTAGTGTTACAATCCAGTCTGCATTTTAGGGCTGTGTGCATTTTAAATAAGATGATGAGGCAGATGCCCTTTTACATCCATCTAAAGACAAATGATCTCTTGATATAGTCACCTGTGAAAGGGGCAGAGTATTTGGTTTGAATATAAATGGGTGTGTCTACATGTTGTCCTACGGAGTGCTACACATGGGTCTATACATGCTCGGCAGCTACGCTGCTGTAGTGGTGCACTCCCTTGTAACCCACCGCTATGGCAACATAGCAGCAAGATCTAACCATGTGCCACACACACGGCACAGTAGGGGCAGTTACTATGCTGTGCTTTAGTACTTCCTTTTATACTTTCCAAAAGGAAGTACTAATGCACAGCATTGTAGCAACATTGCCCCAAGACGTGCCCCAAAGGGTACAAAAGCCAAGTATGACCTATTAATTATGCCAAAGGACCACCCAAGTGAATATTTTCCCCCAAACCTGGCAGCTTAAAAATGAAAGACAGTCAATAAGAACAGTGTTGCTCCATGTACTGAGATTTCAACCTTTCATTGTTGTTTTCCCCATTTCACCATAGGCCTGTGCAAACCTGCTGTTATTTTCACTGAATGAAAGTTAAGCCAGTGTAAAGGGCCTGTGCACCATTTAAATCTCACTTAAGAATTTTATTTTCATTATTTAAATGCTACCTCATTGTCGGTATTTACTTGTGAAACCTGAACTTTTTATAAGCTGTGCCAAAGGGAATCTTACTATTTCTTTAGAAAATAGCAGCTTTGTTGTGAAAGTGATAGAAACTGATTTTCATCTCCTCTAAAAACTCAAGAGTTCCCACAAATGATTCCTGTGTTCACAGAAACATAATCTGTTCACCCTTTTAGTTTTAACACAGGCTTTGCATGGCATTTAAATAAGTCCTTATGTATAGGCATTATCAATAGCTGTGTAAATGTACTATGCCAATTCTGGGCCTGAGAATCTTTGTGCATTCCCTAGTATTCCTTGTACAAATAGCAACACAGACTCCAAAAGAATTCAGTTTTAAAGCACCCACAGCAAAAAGCCCAGTCCCTTGCAGCATAATAGCATTTAAGAGGGTGAATTTGTTGGCATGTCTTTCGTCCTTTTTGCACATGTAATTTAAAAATAATATCTAAGGATGTCAGTGAACATGTTAACTTATATCTGCCCTTAAAAAAACAGTTTTTCAGATATAATTCAAAGCAGTGGTTCTTTCTCTATGAAATCAGCATCCTTTCATAGTTATATAAATATTTCTAATAGCAATTTCAAATAGGTTCCCAGTATAATCAAATTTAAACACAGAAGTAGTTTCCAACATTGGCTTCTGATAGGTAGCATATAGTGTTTCAAATTCAGCTATATGTCCCATTACACACTGGACTTGCAGGCATCATCAAAGTATTCAATATCGTTTCAGTATTCTATGCCTTAATTTGTTTATTCCTCTTAGTATTTCTTAGAGCAACCTCTCTCAATAGAGGTTTTCCAAATGACATGTTTATGGGAGTGAACCAGCAGACAAACAATGTAATTATTAGATAATATAATAAAATATGTGCTTTGCTGCAATAAAATGGCACAGAACCATACTTGATGTGGCATTTGAAATAGGAGAATCTAATCATATAAAATGGATTTCAGAATAGTAAATGGGAATTTTTAGATTTGGCTTTCTTAGACAATGTAATTGGACCTGGATGAAGTCATAAACTGAGAGGGATCAGTGCTTTGTAGAGCTAGAGTCTCTGAAATACTTGATAAAAATGACCTTTTGTGCCAGGGACTTGAGTAAAACTTTAATACTGAGCAGCTTTGTTGCATGAAGTTTTTATGAACCATATGTAACAACATTATACTTTTATTATAAAGATTATTTCAGTTATTGGTGTGAATACTGTTTAAAGATTATTATTGCTCTCTTTTACTAATCATTTCCTATTGCAGAGTATACTGAAAAATGACAAACCACTACCAGATACGAAGTTTAACATCAGCCTGGTAATTTGATATATTGATTAATAATCCAAATAAAAAGATAATAAATGACTATTTAATTCTAACTCAAACAAAACTATTATATCAAACTTCTTTTTGAGAACTAAGTAATTACTGTTACAAATAAGTCTTAATTTAGCAGTGTACACAATGACAAAAAGGCATGATTTTCAAGGAAAAGGACAACTTTACTTAAACATCATACTGGATAAAGTAAAGACAACAATCAGAAATAAAAAGCAATATATAATAAACGGGGAAGAGGAAAAAGCAATCAACATAAGTCAGAAGTTATATGTAGGAAATGAATAAGGAATACTAAATACACTGGAGAAAAGTCCACAGTTGACAGAACAGAGGATAATAAGACTTGGTTTCTTAAATGTATTAGGAATGAGAGAAACCCTAGCAATGTTATGTTCATGGTCTGACTCTGAGTTTTATCAGTCTGAGGTTTGGATTCAGCTGTAATTAGCCTGGTGGGTTTGGGTTTTTTTGTTAGAAGATTATTGCTTACTTTCAGCCAGTAGGCAGGAGTTTGAGTGCTGTGTGTTTGTGTTGTTTTTATGTTTGTGGTGTGAAGGTTTCTGAGCATTCCTACCACTCAAAATTTGTCCTTGGTAGATGATGACCTTTTCAAGGAGGCAAATCTGAAAGGTGTTTTAGTGTCTTTGCCGTTTAGTTGCTTCAAGGCTCTGAGGGATTTTTAGACACATTTATTGTTTTGGGTTCTTTTAATTAAAAAGGAAGTATAGAGGACTATTCATTAGGTACTTGCTGGTCTCTGTTGACCTACCCTTTTCACTGTTCATTCTGCAATAAGATTGCACTATTTAAATTCTGTTTTATGCAACATCCCTCGAGCTTTTCCCTCTTCAAAAGTAAGAATCATAAGGCTAATTTTGTTTGGTATCTTTAAAGAATGGCAGTCTTGCAATTCATTTACTTTGAAGATCTCCTTCCCCAGGATTCCCATCCCTGCCCCATCAGAGTTTCAGGTTCTGTGCTGGGGCGGAGGGGGGCGGTTGCTCTCAAAAATTCTTTTGGGGTTTTGTTTTTTTTCTCTCTCTCCCCCATCACTGAGAAAACCTGGAGATACTGCCAGTTTTAGAAAACTGACAATCATGGTTGTGTGTAGTGGCACTTTTTGTATGGGCTTTTGCTTCTTACTCAGGAACTGATAAAAAAAATCTAGAAGAAACAAAGATGGTGACAGTTGGAATAAATAATGAGAAAGGGCCTTTTGTTCAACTGCCGGTGCACTGAGGTACTAAAAATGTGAGAGCTAGAGGAGTTCTGCCTCCAGAGAGATGAGACCCAGCCACAGAAATTCTGCATAAGGATGTGCTTCAGTGGAGCAAATTCACAGGTAGCACTCCCCTTACTCTGCTGTCAAATTTCATAATCAAATTAAATAAATATATTGATTTAATGAATTGTTGCATGAAGAGCCATGACTGGTTCAGTGCTCCCTCAGATCTACCCTGGCAGGGTTCTCTCTTCTTTTCCAGTCTGCTTAAATAATTGAGAAACTTCTAAGTACTGCTACTTGCACTGTGTGCTCACCTACCTGCTTTAGGGCTTACCGTGCTTTTTACCTTCTTTCTCTTAATGCTACCACACAAATGCCAAGTGCTTTAGAACAGGATCAGACTTCAGGTCACTCGTTGTACAGGTAGAGTCACTGTGAACACACATGGAGGTTAATACAGGGTTGCACAATAACAACTAATTAAGTGAAAAATGCATTGGCAAATTATAATCTACTGAATGTAAGTGGTTTTATGATGTCTCTGGGATTAATAGCTAATGTAATGTTGTGCTATAACCCAAAGTAAATGTTAAAATTAAGGTCTCCTTGCTCCATAGAGTGGAGCAAAACTGAACAATATATAGCTGAGAACTCCCTGAACCAGTGGAGGAGAGTCGTGGGGAGCAAGGCCAAAACTGTATGTAAGCATCATCCCATTTGGGAGGCATGAACTTTGCAGAGTTGTGTGGAGATGTGGTACAGTGAGAAGACTGCAGATAGTTGAAGAGAAATAGTTGCTTTTCTCAGCATGCCCCACTTAGGACTTAAGAGAAATACCACCAGTGAATAGAAAATAATCAGTAGTCCTCGAAATCTTCTTGTCATACTCCCTCCTGCACTATAAATTGGAAGGTTGTTCTGGAGGACAGGAGTAAGCAGTGTTTCACCTTCCAGCAGTAGCACAGCATCCACCACTTTTTTCCTCTCTCTGTTCTCTATTCTACCTGTTTATTGACTTATTTAACTTTCATTCACTTTTTGTTCCTCTTCACTTTGTGTAGATTTATTTTTGTGATAAATTCTGTTTATCTCCCCACTTCCCACCAGGTTGGTCCATGGGGGAGTGTAGGTTGTAGTGGAGCTCAAAGAATAGAAGCTACAATCAGATTTATTTTTACAGCGTAAATTATAAATAAGAAGTATGATGGGAGCTTTGTTTTATTTGAAAGAAAACAGAGGATGGGTGTGAACGCATTCAAATCCCATTCTCTCCCCACCCCCAACACACACTTTTTCCCCCTAGAAAAAGAGCAGAATTTAAACTAGTTTCATTCCTATAAACAGCAACTAATATGTGATCTCAAATCAGGCCTGTGGTTAATGCCTAATTGCTGAAAGTTAATGTCATCTTTCAAAGATTTTGCTGTACTAAGAACTGTATATATCCAGTGCTTCCACAGAGCATAAATTAAGAGCTCAGGAGAGACATCTATATGGATGTCACCATTAGTTTCCATGTTAATTTCATCTTGGATGGTTCATTTTATTACTGAACACATCATTAAATCATAACTGATTATATTGTATAATTGTGGGGTGACTCATACAGTTGACAGCTGTCAGTCACCTGTTATATGTTGGGACTGAATGACTGCATTAATAATGCCAAACACATAAAGCATCTTTGTTTAAAAAAAAACAACCCAAAAAACCCCCTAAATGCCTCACAATATAGCTGCTATCTCTCAAATACATCAACAGTGTGACTGTGACTAGCTGTGCCTAATTTTTACTTATAGCTGTTAGAAAGAAGATCTACAAAGCCACCCCTGGGTTATTGCAAACTCATAATAAAACAAAGGCAAGGTGATCAGAAGGGAAAAAAATGCCTCAAGTGAAAGCACATTAGATTGTTGCTCTGAGCTTCTGCTCTAGTCTGAGCTTGGATTCATGCTGAAATGAGCTGCAGCAGATTTGAATGCAGCCTGGGGGTTGCTGCAACTTCTGCCAGCTGGCCATGGTTGCCGTGGGGCTGAACACCAGCTGAATATAATGAGAGAAGCAGACATAGTGAACTAACCATGTCCTTGCCCTGACATGCCCTTTTCACTATGCCCAAGTATAGATGTGGTACAGAGGCCAGCTACCGTGATGGCATGCCTATTGGGAGCTCCCACATGCCATAGGAAGTTTTAGCCAGGCAGATCTGGCTCTTTTCTGGGTCCTTTGTGCCATTCAGACAGCACAGAAAGGCTGGAATGCAACTGAGAAGCTGGCCTATAGATTTGAAAGAGGATACGTAGAGCTCAGCTCCCAAACTGTTCTGCCAGGGTAAGGACCCAAGTATTATATGACTACATTATAAGAAAGACTAGAAGGTAATATGCTAAACAAACTTCAACATCCAACCAGGTATTTTTATAGTTTGGCATTCTAGCCAATTTGCAACTGTAAATACAAAGATTGGTTTTAAAAGTTTATGGTCTCCTGCTAACTGAATAATAGTACTCTAAAATATGTAGAGTAGATATTCCCAGATAGTAAAAATCCATTGTTTTAAGGCAGTCATCATATAGTGTTATAATTCTTCATAGAGCCACCGAGATGCTACTGTGATGAATACCCTCAAGTATCTAGAGAGCTAGCTAGTAACATCACTCCTTGTTTTCTTATATACTTTCTTATTCTTCTGTTAGTGGGCTTAATTCCAAGGTATTGGGAATATTGCCTGAGGAAGAATTGATGGTTTAGTACCTGTATATTTGATTTGGGAAGTTCTTTTGTACAGTACAGGCGATTAAGGGCGTGTGGTTTGTGGCACCACTAACTGCATGTCATGAATGTTAAAGCATGTTCTGTACTGCAGATTTGCAGCACGGGGACAAAATTTGCTACTGGGATTTCCCAGTAGCAAAAAAAAAAAAAATAGTGCTGGGAAAAAACATGATGTGGCGCTTGCTAGTGTGTGCTGGAACAAACGGAGGCTTGCTTAGCAGAGTATCTCTACTATTTCATTTGTGCCTTGGCTGCTCTAGGATGGTGGGAGCCAGGAGGAGCTGGGAAAGGGCAGTCTGACTGAAATGGGACAACTGTCCCGCAGCAAAATACATGTGCAGGAGCATGCGATGCAGCACAAATTTGTGCTGCTGCTATTTTTGCCACTGCAAATGCATGCTACTGTTCCTTTGGATGAAGCCAAGATGTACAAACCATGGCTGTATAGATTAAAAAGCAGTATAGTGAGACAGAAGTGTAATAAGCAGGTCTTGTGCTCTGAGCAGCAAGGGTGGCTGGGTGGTGTCTGCAGCTGCGAGGACAGCAATGCCATTGGCTGCCTTTCTTATGCCCTCTCTAAGTTGGTGCCTGGGGCTGGTGCCCTGGTTGCACACCTAGTTGCACTACTGTAGTGAAATATCATCAGTTATCCTTTGCATGTGATAAATCAACCCTTGCCCCAGCCTTCCATGTGACTGTATCCAGAGGTAGACACCTATTAATGTCAGTGGGACTTACTAAAGATGCATCCATGCACAGTTACTTGGGGAATGAGGTCCTATAATAGCAGAGAGCAGTTAGGACTCTAATCAGTATACTAAAATGACTTTAAAATGTCTGTTTTCTAACCAACTTATCCAATACACACTATCTAGAGATTTATGCCATGTTCATCACAGTTGCCACCTGGGGTATAGTACCACAGGATTTTACTTCACAGATATGGCATATTGAAAAGATTACATGTGATGTCACA